AGCAAATAAAATGGAAAGCAGGGGGACGGGTGTCAGGTGCGCCGGGCTCTGGACAATGCCCGCTGACACGTGATGGGGGCCACACTTGTCACAGAACAATGGGGCTCAGTCATGACAATGTGCTGTATGAGAACATATTACATAACCACGTCACATCAGCTCTGTGGAGGGGAAATCCTGCTTTATATGACACCTGTGTGCACAGGAATATGGGGGCTGCATCTGAAATGCTTGTCACCTGGCTGCCACGCTCAGATGGTCAACTCCCAGATGGCAAGGATAACTTGCCACAATCTTGTAGCAGGGTTAAATTGTAATTCTTGTTAACTTGCTGCACGCATTCTTGGCAAGTTGTAGACTTGCAGAACACTTGCAGCACAAGTTCTAGTTGACACTTTTTGAATTTGTAGCAAATTTGCTTGGCAAGTCTACAGCAAGAGTCTGGCAGGTCTGAGCAAGAGCTCTGCAAGCTCGCTGGTCTGGAGACTTGCAATGCAGATTTGCTTGTTAAATGCTCATTATGTCTAGGAGTATGATCGTCATGACAACACATGTAAGCCGCATTACCTTCCAATGCGGTAACATGCCACGATGGGGTGAACGGTCCTTTAAAAAAATAAAACTTTAGGCTGGAGTTGGCCTTTCCCGATGCTGGCGACGTACACTGTCACGAAGGGGTTAAGAATGCAGATCAGGAATTCCAACACTGGGTCAGTGACTCAAGAAGCATTGAAGCCTCTGGATCGGCATGACGAAAGCTTTTACACATGGGAACCTGAGCCCATGAAATTTAAATTCTGGTGTATTCCCCTTTCCGTGAAGCCCAGCGGCCCCTAGACATGAATAGCTGTGTGCAGCTGTATACTGGTCTACACCGGTACTCGTATGGCATGTAAATGTGATCCATGAATAGAAATGTTCTGTTCTTGGAATAATCCCGTCCGTGCACTACACTGGTGGTTATATCAGTACCGGTGTTCTATCGAGATGTCCAACTTGTCGAGATCTCCAACTCCCACCAGTGCACCTGCGCGACCACCTAAAAGCAGTATCACGTTCTCTAATTTGCAGCATCCGATGGAAGAAGCAGTGATTCCAGTTGGAGAACTCAATGCGGATTGCGAGGCCGCACAGGCGCACTTAGGGCAATTGGCAAGTCGACGAGGTTTGTAAAAATGCCAGGGCTGGCTCACGCGCACTAGCTCCATCTCGTCGAAATCTCCTACGGATGTGACATTATGAGTTGGAGATCTCAACGAGTTGGCCATTTCGACAGAACACCAGCATGTACCCGAGTACAGTCATTCATGTAAGTAATTCCTGGGCAGGGTATATACATCGGAATATAGGCCCCAGTCGCAATAGTGAATTGGGCCAGATCACTGTGTCTCACAGACTTCCCCAGTTGCGGGATGAAGGCCCTGTACAATACAATGACAGCTTCCACTGCTCGCACATGTAATTATAGATTCTGCGATTACCTGCGTACGATTGTATCTGGATGCAAACACTCGGGTACTGCAGTTTGCAAGTGTAATTGGGGCCATAGGTTGCTTGGGCTTAGGTAGCCGTGTGCAAGAGGCCTACAAGGGACAGAGTAAGGGCCCATTCACACCAAAATCGGAAGGAAATTGCAAGTCAGTGGAGGGTCTGTTAATTTCCAATTGTACCTAGCACGACTACTTCCGGTATCAAGAAGCAGGGCAGCGCGTCATTACACGCTGCCCGGTTTCCCGATTGGCCGGGAATTGGCTCCATGCTCTCTCGTCACTTGTGAGGAGAGAGCATGGAGCCAATTCCCGGCCAATCGGGAAACCGGGCAGCGCGTAATGACGCGCTGCCCGGCTTCTTGTTTGGCCGGGAAGCTGGCCTCGTGAGGTAAGGTTACCTTAGTATGTGCAGCCTGTCATCCCCGGGGCCTCTCCAGCGAGAACGTGGCCTTTCTGCGGTACCCAGTCGGAGCCGTCTGGCCGGCCAATCAGGAAGCTGGGTGCCGTGTAATGACTCAACGCCTTGCTTTCTGATTGGCCGGGAAGTCGGCTCCATGCTCTCTCATCACAAGTGACGAGAGAGCATGGAGCCGCTTCCCGGCCAATCGGGAAACCGGGCAGCGTGTAATGACGCGCTGCCCGGCTTCCTGATGCCGGAAGTACTCGTGCTAGGCATCGGAGCATACTCGCCCAAATACTCGGAATCAGCACCAATATAGATAATGGTATCGGTGCATCCCTAATTATTATTATACAATGATTTATATAGTGCCAACAGTTTGCGCAATATAAGGTAGGCATTACAGTTACAATAGCAGTCACAACAAGATGGTAAGGAGGGCCCTGTCCGTGAGAGCTTACAATCTAAAAGGAGTATACAAGGAATGGTCTATGGAACAGTTCTGTATTCCTCCACCTGACTGACCAAACTAAAGAAATCTCTGATGCCAAACTAATTATGTTCATTAGGGATGTCCCGATACCGATGCTAGCACCGGAATGGGGCCCGATACAAGGCATTTTGACAAATACTTGTCAAAATGCCTAGAGCCGAAGCTTGCGCTGTTTTTGTTTTTTTTTACCTCGCCGAGCGTAAGTACATGAGGGGAAGTACTTGTACTTGGGCCTGAAAAAGTGGCATCGGGACATCCCTAATGTTTATAGTTCCTTCCCTCCGTTTTCTCTTACTCCCAGTCCTCCTGTTCTGTCCCCCCAGCGGGTTTCAAACTGGAATCGCCATTTAACCACTTGAAGAGCGGGGTGTTAAGCCCCCCTTCCTGTCCAGGCCATTTTTCAATATTCAGTGCTGAGGTTCTTTGAGATTTATTCAGTGGTGCAACGCTGTACTGAAATCAATTTTATACCAACCCATTCCCCTGGGATATGATACCTCTAAGTATGGTTGAGTGTCCAGGATCTGCAACACTGGGAAGAAAGTTTTGTATGGCGTTCCTGAGCCCAAACAGCATGCTAAAGTTGAAGGTTGCAAAAATACATGGTAGATAGAAGATAAGACCGGAGGTCATTATGGGGGTTATTCACTATAAGCTGCAAAAGGCAGCCGAATGAATAACTGAACCGAAGTGAAGGGAGCCGAAGCATGTTCTGCTCATCACTGCATACAGCTGGTATGGAATGTTAGGGGGGACCCCACTTTTTTTTCCTTTTATGGGGGGTTGGGGTTCCTCTTAAAATTCCAACCAGACTTAAAGGGTCTGGTATGAATTTGTAGGGGAATTCCACGCATTTCTTTTTTTTTTTTTACATTAGGGGGTGACCCTAACATTCTTACTAGACCTGAAGGGTCTGGTGGGAGGGATCCCCACGCTGTTTTTTTTTTTGTTTCTTTTTTATTTAAATTTTTTTTTTTAAATCAGGGATTTGGTCCGCTTTGGTGGACTGTTCTCCCCGCTCCGGCTGTTTGTTTGGCTGTGCCGCACCAAAGCATGTGCATTCAGCTCGGCTTCTTACCTTGGCTGCCTTCAGCTGCTGTACGGGCTATCGTGAATAGTACAGCAGCCCTTCGGTTCGGCTGATCTGAAGGGTTTCTGCAGCCGAAGCCTTCGGCTCATTAGTGAATAACCCCCCTGTATTTTTCCCAAAGAATACCACATTGCAATGTGTTAAGTTCAACATAATTATTATGAGTCCAAATGGGTGTAAAAAAAAAAGTATAACCAGTACAGTCACGCAGGGATTTAGGAGTCTATTCACTAAGCTGCCGAAGGATCTATCTGTAGCTTCTGCTGATCCTTCGGCTAGCTTCGGCCCCAGGACCCCTTCGGTTCAGTAACTGAAGGGCTGCTGTACGGGCTATTCTCTATAGCCCATACAGCTCCCGAAGGTGGCCGGGCGGCTCAGTCGTGCCAAAGGCATATGCCTCGGCTCGACTGATCCGAGGTGAAAGCCGAAGACCGGCCGTCGGCCTGCTTCTGACAACTGGGCAGAGCCAGCCGTCATCTCACGGCTGGCTCCAGCCACTTTCAGAGAGATCAGCGTCCCTGGTTACCAGGTAACCAGGGACGCTGTCATTACACACTGAGAACCCGCCCGGGCTGCTATGATATCACAGCGGCCTCTCCGTGCTCTCAGTGTGTAATGACAGATGGTGTTCCTGGTTACCCGGTAACCAGGAACGCCATCTGTCATTACTCTCCCGGACGCTCTGGGAGTCTACAGTCTAATACGACTCCCAGCCGCCCGGGAGAGAAACACTTTCTCCCAGAAAGGTTCACTCTGCTCGATCGAGCCGTTGGGTGCCGTCAGAATAAATAAAAAATAAAATCACCATGGGAATGCATAGCTAGATTCCTAGCCAATAGCAAACTAGCTATTGCACTCGCCCAATGCTGCTTTCAATCAGAAGAGGGGGACCTGCAGTTCTCCATCAGCCGTACCAGCCTGAAGTGAATAGCGAACAACGTTCGGCTCACTTCGCTTCGGGTCGGTTAGTCACTCGGCTGCCTACGGCAGCTTAGTGAATAGACACCTTAGTCTTCCACCAGAGTTTATGCATGAGGGCAAATGTACAATGTAAAGTTTGTTACACCTTGACTTTTTTAGCTTCCAGTGCTTCTTATAAATCAGCAATCCCCAGTCAGTTATGTGGAAGTAAGATGAATGAACTAACCTACCAGCCCATGTGTTGAATCTGAGCTGCCAGAAATTACATCCAGGGAT